TATATATTCATATTTGTTTACATACAAATATTATGATACGTATATTCGCCGGAGTTTATTTTTAATGTGAATTGATTTTTTTCTTTACTTTCAGGAATACATAAATAAGGGTACCTATAAGTATACCATTTTAATATAGAAACATTTGTACACAATTAGCCATTTGCAAAACGGTCACTCAATAATGATAACCATACTTCTAGGGTTTACTAGGAACAAAAAGACCATCGCTTGATGTACAGAAATAACATACATAATAGAGTATAAATATATTGGCAATGATTGTTGTAAAATTTCATGGAAAAAATTCGGTTTATTCTTGGAGGGGTATTTGTGGAAGATTTAACTTCTTACGTGATTATAATTGTGGGTCGCTGGCTATATTATTGAAAAAAATATCATTTATAGTAATAAAGATTCTGCCGATCATCGTCTTTCACCAAAGTGTATTCGGAGACCAAAACCAAGGTATAATATTAAATATGTTATTAAAATTCATATTATTAAAATATCTTTGAATACATGTTTTCAAGTATCACTAAGCTGTTTAACAAATCTTAAATAGTAGAGTGAGAAAATAGAAATAAATACAATACATCGATGGTAAAATATTTCATGGTGACGATGTCTAAGTATTTATTTCCAATCATGGTTCACATTTCGATCTATCGCTATTCGTGTCAAGTCTTGGTACATTCAATTCAACTGTCGTTATTGAATGGGTAGTGCGGGAAGTCGGGTCGAGATGATCAAGGTAAAATTGGTACCAAATGGATGTGACATTAACAAAAAAGGACCCGATCGACGAGCGACATCTGATATCCAAAAGAGAAGGTGTATTAAATAATAGAGCACTCTCCACTTGCTTCGTTCTAAGTGATGAGAACGGAAAGCGCGTTTATCCAATTAGTCGGAAATCGTGTTTTTGAGAAGGGACGGGCATTTGTGCCTATGAAATAAAATTAGTATTATTCAGTTTATCATTTCAAATAGTAATATGGATGACGATATCTAGTCTCACTGAATGAGCGAGACGAGGAGAGAACTTATGATATTGTAATAATACTATTTTTAATATTTAAACAACACAGCAGTACCATCCTGCCCAGACTCACGTGCCCAGTGTATCATCTTATTGAATCTTTCCCGCATTTATGAGCTATAACAAAAGCCACTCGCAGAATCTAGAAAATACATTATCGATTATTATAATATGCTCTTGCTTTAGCCTAACTGAACGTCTCGGCGCCGTTTTTATTTTTTTATTTTTGGCATAGATACTAATGCTGTCCAAAAGTTACATCTAATTCTCTATTTTTATTTTTTGTTTATCACAGCAGTTTTGGTGAAGATTTAATACGCCATGTTACAATAGTATGTATGGTGGCGCTCTGTTTATACGCGTGTATCACTACCTATATTGACAAATGGACCGTTAGAGCAGTCTCTTCGCCGGAACTGCCGTAGGAAACGCCCAGAAAAAAACAAACACAGACACCGTTTTTTTCTACTCTTTTAAGTATATCATTGTGTGTAGGTGTGTGCGTGCGTCTGTGTACTTGCGCACACACACATGCATATTTATATATGTTTATATAAATAATACGTACTATATACGTATATTTCTTATATCCCAGAAAACGTTTCCAAGTTGAACAATCTGAAGCCGTTGTTGTGTACAAAAAAATAGCATGTAAATTATGTTTATTGCCTGTGAAAACGGGGTGCATGACTAAATCGAAAAAAAAATGTATATAAATAAACTGGGATTTATTTGTTTGTTTTTTTTCTTCTGCCCTTCGCACAGTGCGTTTCCTATCCTCTGCAGTAAAAATATGCGAAACGGCTTTTCGGCAAACACTATTTTTTTTTCATCTACAGATTATATACTGGTCGACAAGAGCTTTTAGAAATCATATTGTAGATACTGCTGCAGGGTTTTATTTTTATTTATTTTTTATTTTTTAACATTTGGTTTGGATGTCACGATTATCATCAATGTTTTATGATCTCTGTATTTTGCGCGAAACACGAATAGTGAACTCTGTTGTTGACAGCAAAATATTGCGAAACAGCGCGGAAAAAATTCATGCGAAGCAACCGCCGGTACGTCGATGAGGGCAATAGTATTACAAAATGTTCGCGCAAGTATTAGAATATACTCATATATAAGTACGTTATACGAAAGGTGAATCTCAAAGTGAAATAAGTTCTGTACGAGAATTTGTGGCTATTATTAGGAACGTTAAGCTGTACTGAAGGTTTTTCTCTATTGTCCGATTGTGATTTAATCTTCTCATGGATCGTCGTATTTAACAGTAGTTAGACAGTTATGTTATACGTTTCGATAGAAATTTGAAATAGTTTCAAAATAATTACTTGAATTTTTTCCGTTATATTTTAATTTTTTTTGTTTTTTTATTTTTTGTTATTTTTCTAGTCGCAATACAAACATTTAAAAATCTTAAGTCAAAGAATAGTGAATTTAAAATGAGTTACGTCATTGAAAACCGTAATTATATACGATGTCGAAAAACGGACAGTATAAGGGAAAAAGCAAATTGATTTAATAAAAAAAGTTTAAATATAGGTATTTACGAGATAAATTAATATTTTAACGACTTGGCAAAACTTGAAAATTGTATTTATAAATCATTTTGATTGATATCGGGACGATAAGTCCGTACCAACATTATTACTTATATTTCATTTTCGCCAAACCATTGTAATTGGTTAGCCGTTGTTGGTGTGGTCTTTGGGGAATTTACAAAAAAAAAAAAAAAAATATTTAATCACTTGTCGTTTTCAAACTAACATATCCTGTTTATTGCATTAACAAGGCTCGCAACAATAAATAATGACAACAGCTTAGTACCATAAAAATTAGCTACAATTAGAGCGAAATATCTTTTTCAGGATAGCTATTTATTTATTTTTTTTCATATAGCGCGCGATATCATTTATTCCCTTAGCACCCCTACCCCAACTTCTACTGCAGCACCGGACTGCTGCTGCGGTGTATTAACTCTTCTATATATTGCCCTTCAGTGAGAATTTGCCGTCCTATAACAAAGTTATTGTTTTAACGACATAACGCAGTGAAAGCCTACGGTCGACTTTTATTATCGTGGCCCTCCATTAAACCCTAGTAGTTTATTATTATTATTATTTTTTAATTTTCTTTCACATTATCTCCGAAGTATCGTACCTCTTCACTAATCGACTGCATACAGCTTGACCAATTCCTAATAAATATGTGTGGTGAAAAATCTGAATATAATGGCTATAAAAATATTACGAACACCAGAGGCACGGAGCTATAAAATATGTTGACATTCAATGATGGTGGAAAAAAGCAACTGGGTCAACGAGTAAAAGTTTATTGGTGTTTGAATTTTTTTTACGATAATCGTGAAAGTTCAGAAAATTACATAATTAATATTGTTTAGGGATCGCGGGCGAGAATTCGTAAATGCACGCAGGAGAACAATAAAAGTATGATGTCGGATTTGATTATGTCTCGAAAAAACATTCTCCTAATGCATTCAAGGAAAAAATTGGAAAATATAATTATTTGTCGTTTTAAACAATAATTATAAAGTATAAATAAAACAACGTGGATAGATGTTTCTTTTGAAAATGAAATGCATGTGATTTCCAAAAAGGTAGCAACACACACGCCCATATTATGAAATGTTGAAGCGAAACAGAATTTTTAACACCAAAGTCCACAAAGTCTGTAATGGCTATGAAATAATAAAGTATAATTTTATGAATTATATATGATTAAGGTAGTAAAAAAATAAAAAAAATTGGTAAAATATAATTTTACAATTTTATTTATAAAATATCTATTAATAATATAAAAATGTGTAAGACTACTTTTAATGTTGTCAATCAGTACTTAGTAATGCAAAATCAGTCGTACATACATTGTCATCCATTATTTTTGAAATAAACTGTAGAACAAATTAACTTAATGATTGATTTCATTATTTATTTCGTACGATAATTTTTTAAGAAAAATGACAGTAATAATAAATTCAAGCAGAGTAACGAAAAAAAAAAAAAAAATAATACTATTTATTGAAACTATGTATATCATCATATAATTATGTTATCTATGTCTAACTCTTTTTCAATAATAAGTTCATTAAAATAAGAGCAGCACAGGGCATTTGCAAATTAGACATGATGCGCTGTTGACCAGTGACGAAACTGATTGATCACGTGTACGCAAAACATTCGGTCGAATATGCTTTTAACATCCGGGTACACAGGAACACGAATACGAACACCAAAATTACTTTCAAATTTAAAATGTTGCGTTGCATCAACTATGCGAATATCAATGTTCACCACAGCCAGAGTCAGCCGTAAAAATTAAAGGTCCAAATATCTTTATCTGTGATTATGGTTTTTAATTTTATCAGCAAACTTAATATTTACCGGAAAACAATATTATCTGTGAAGACGTTTAAGCTTATTAATAGTTATATCTCAATATTTCATTTAGTATAGACGTATGGTAAATTTAAATGACGGCAGAGAAGGGAGACTACAGACAGAAAACTCTGCAGAATTATTTTTTGCACTGAGCTGGGTTCGAACTGGTGAGACTGACATGGCGCCGTCATGGCTACATTGTGTGACCACTGCACTACTCTGTCTTCTATTTTAACATATAAATTTATTTATAACTAGCTGACCCTGCAATACTTCGCTATTGCAAGATTTCTCAGATATTAAATTGCTATTTATTTTCTGGATGTTAAATAATTATTTTTATTTTAGATCACTTTTAGTCACGTCTTCGTGGTAATGTAGCCATATAAATTTAGTGTCGTCACCGCGGATTCTTTATAATGTTTAAAAAAAATTATTTTGTATCTAGTGGTAAATTATATATGTATGTAAATTGTGTATGTACATTTTGTAGGTATAACTATGGATGGAACAAAAGATGAATTATGCCAGTATTTTGATAACTATTCAAAGATTTAAAAAATTTCTTTGTAAACAACGTTATCAACTTTTTCTGGATCAGGGGCAAAAATATACAAATTAAATTTAGATGTCACACGTGACAGGGTGACGTATAGTTGACCGTGAGAAAAACATTGAACGCTTAGGTCAATTCCAGCAACGTTAAGTGTTTGTCCCTGTGCTTTATTTATAGTCATTGCAAATGCTAATTTAACGGGAAATTTAATACGTTTAAACTTAAAAGGTAAATCTGAAGGTATAATTGGTATTCTTGGTATTAAAACAGTTTTTCCATTACCACAGCCTGTTAATATTATGGACTCGAGTAATGAACTTTTCAATTTTTTGATTTGTAGTCTTGTACCGTTGCAAAGTGTGGGTGGGCTCAAATTTCTCATTAAAATAATGGGTGCCCCTATTTTTAAAATCAGCGTATGTAGTGGGACTCCAGAAGGCGTTAAAGAGTTAAGAAATTCAGTTAGGAAATGGACTGCATCCTCTTTTTCTAAAACTGTATCAACTGAATAGTACTTTTGGGATTGAGCGTCAAACCTAGATAGAATCAAATCATTTAATTTGTCGACTTGCTCATTTGTTGGTGATAAAATAGCCCTTTCTTGAAACCATTTCAATGATTTAGATGATATATTTTGAATGTTTGGGTACACGTTTTGAATCAATTTTGTTATAGTGGGTACTGAATTACAGAAACTTTTAATATTTATTTTATCATTCGTTGCTTGAAATTTTCCTTTGCCTATTAAAAGTAAATCTTTGACAAAATTTATATTATCTTGATCTGTACATAGCACTCTCATATTAGTTTTAAGTTCTAATATTTTTATATAAGGCCATAAGTAGGATCTTTTCAAAGACGCGTTGACTTCATCAGCTATTGTCCCTCTTGTACCCACAGGCAAGATCTGACGGAAGTCTCCAGAGAACAACACTGTGCAGCCACCCATGGGACTATTATTATGACGCAAGTCTCGCATCGTTCTATCTAAAGCTGCCTTTATTAATATATTTAGTTACATATTTTATCGACTTTATAGAACTACATAATTCAACATTAATATGACCATCAAATACTTTAAGCAAAAGTTTGTTGTAGGGTACAATCCATCTGTTGTCAATTTCATGATTTCGAATAGTACATATTTTTCCACCTTCTTCGGGTGATAATCTTCTATACTTTGGATAGCCATCGTCACCAGAAGAGGTATTGCTCTGAAATTGTTTTGGGAATTTCTTAGAACATTTCCCCTCAATTATGCATGGTGAGTTATGGTTAAAAGCCCCACATGGTCCATGAACCATGTGCTTTACAACAATATCATACAGTTCTTGATCTTGTTCTTTATTTGGTATTTCAGCTGTCATTACACTGTCAATTTGGTCTGGTTGGATTTTGTTTGTAAGCCAAAGAAAAAAGTGTATATGTGGTAACCCACGATTTTACCATTCAACCGTATACATATAACACCGTGGAGGGCCAAATATATTATGTTTATTAATAAGAGTTAACAGCTTTTGCACCTTTAAATGAAAAACTCGATTTACTATGTCGTATCTGTCTTGAGGTTTTGAATTAGTATGGATATTATTTAAGATCTCAGGCCACTGTGGATTACATGTCATCGTGATGAATAAATCTGGTTTACCTTAATTTTTTACGTAAGTCATTGCATCCTGTGTTTTTTTATGAAGATACCTCGGTCCCCCCGTAAAACTTAATGGAAATATAACTAATTGTCCAATGTTATTGCTTTGTTCATTTGAGCGCAATGCGTCCTGTAGATGAATATAACTTTCAGCACGTAATGTCTTTTGATTGTGTCTTATAAACGCCAAACGCTCAGATTCGATTTTGGCATACTGATCAACTATATATTGGTTAAATAACATGCCATATTTAAGTAAATGATTTGAATTATTCTGGCGTTCCATTATGCGATAGTAATAATAGTTCATACATGAAACTTTTTTTTGTGTAGGAAATCTAGTAACAGGATCAACTTGAGGAATATCTATCGAGTATCTATCTTCACCGTAGGGGAACATTAATGGATATTGAAAACTGTCGTAGGATCGGTGCAATTCAGAAATTATTTGAAAATTGTTATCACGTTATCGCAGCACAATGTCTTTTTTGTCGAATTGTTGTCTTGTAATTATAACGGCTACTTCGCTCGTTGACGGAGCATTGTAACGACCGCGATGTTCACCATTCGGAACTTTGTTAGAGTGAATTACCAATTTATAGTCTGTAACATTAAAAGGAACGCTTTCAATGGCTGTTTTAAAAGACTTTACATGTCTAATATGAGTGTTTAATATGTCTTGTAGGGATCTCATTAATATGCTGTCGAGGATCTCTTTTTTACATCGTTTAGATACTTGTGTATCAGGATCGGAAATAAAATAAATCTGCAAAAATGTATGGTCATCAGGATGATGTGGAAAAAGACTGCCGGCAACATGGTAAACCTGACCCTGTACTTTAAAGGTAGGCATAAACCCTTTATGAACTACCTGCTTGCTTCTGAATGAAGTCATTTGGAAAGCATTGTTGTAATAACGAATATCGCGTGTGAATTGTTTATGTTTTGTGTGACTTCCATTAAGAAGGGAATTCAATGGTTCTGGTGGTATAATTATATCATCTAATTTTACTTTGCCATTAGAGCAACATAAGGTTTTGCGTTCGTCTTTCCATCTCAGAGCAGAACAAAACTGGCAAACTATTGTAGGATTTCCTATAAAAACTGATGGGTTATTTTTGTAATCCACCGTTAACTCATAGTTCATAGCAGAATAATCTTTTCTCGACCATGAACCTCTGTCGTTAACAACATCATCATTATTTGACTGTCGTTCTCTACGTACTACACGCATTCTTTTGGCATCATTCTGAGATCGACCAATGTTTAACTTTCGTCTAGGCATTTTAAAAATGAAAGTAGTACAATCAATTACGGCTTTAAATGCCAGCCAACAATCAACAGTTAATAAAATAACAATCAAAATCGATAAAAGACGTGTTCTACCGAAAACAATAGAAAACTATAACACAGTCCATACAACGATAATAATATCAGCGTACGGCGATTTTAAAATTAATACTAATACATAGAATGAATTGAATGAAGTCGCTTTTAAAATATAAAAAACAACAGCAGTCTCATTGCCTTGGTTATTAGCAGTATACGAGTATATATAGGTATATATACAATTTACACGTTTATTTTAATTAATTTAATATTAACTTAATCGGACTATTTTTTTGCCTTAAACCTTCTCTGTGATGTCCTCTTTTATTTAAAAAAAATTGCACGACGATTGAATAAGTAGTTTCGGAGTTTATCCCGAACAAAAAAAAGCAACTACATTTTACTTCATTTTTTCGTATATAGTAGTATAGATTTTATGCGATTGAGTTAGGTAAATATTAATATGTATTTTAATTTAAATGTAATTAATATAAATTATATTTCACGACCATATAAACTGTAATTCTGAAATAAATAAATTATCATATTAATTCTTAATAATAAATATTACATTCCATAAGTTAATGTTATTTATAATAAGTGGATATTTATCAATTTTAATAGATATTTCGTTAAATTGCTGTTCTGTAATTATTTGGAGCGATCACCAAGTTATAGGATATATTATTGCAACAATTGAATTGCAAGTTTTTCAAATCCATCTAGTTCGGAATGATCGCTTAACACTTACAAATGTGTAAGTAACATTTTCTACAGTGTATAAACATTTGCGCATTTCAGTTACACTGTATAACACAACGTTACACCGAAATAAGTGCACGACTCGACACGAACTTGTTAACAAATTAATTAACTTTGATATTTCGTATAGCAATAATATTTAATATTGACAAAATAGAATGGTTGAGGAATAGACAATAGATATAGCTTAATGGAAAGATGGAGCAAGAGAAACAGAGAGAGAATGAGAGAGAGGGCGATGGAATGAGCAAGAGCATATTTTATTCTTCAAATTCAATAATTGTGATTTGGTGCATATTTAATTTAATTTTGAAAACTTTAAATAATTAAAAAATTGCTTGGGATCATTTAATATAACTTACTATGATTGATTAAAACAAGATAATAGGAAAACCTGAAATTTTAACTGTTAGAAAAATAATAATTTTTGTTAACCGCAATTTAATTAATGATTTCAAAACGTCAACAAATATAAAAAAAATAAAAAATAAACACCATTAATAATAATGTCGTTTATTATTCATGTACTCTAAGATCAATTTTACGAGTCATTTTAGAATTTTTATATCAAATGTCACACTTTAAATTTAAGTCGTTATTATATATACATAATTCAATAGTACCGTTTCTCATATAACAGTATGCAATCGTTCTTCTGATATTGTTATTTACAGATATAATAGAGATCCAAGTAATTATTTAGTATATCCTTATACTTTCTGAATTTTTTGTTTATTATTTTGACTGAGGAACAGTGCAAAAGTTGTCTAATAATTTGATGTATTGCGTAAACAACAATCGTAACACAAGAAAAACAAGAGAACATTTTTACATCTACAAATACAATAATATTTTATTTTTTTTTTTTTTGTAGAAGCTTTTACTATGGATTACAAAAATTGAAAAACAGAAAGTCTGGGATATGTTTGATCTCATCAAGAACTGTCATATTGTTTCAGATCTTTCTAATTTAATTTTAAAAAGTTTACGCTTGCTTTATGAAAATATTAAAAAGAATTTTCCATCTCTGGATGTTTCATCATAGAACTGGGTAAGAAATTATTTTATCAACTTTGTTTATGATATTTCAAGGAAAATTATGTATATTACTCAGCTATTTTCTACATTCTATAATTTTGAAGCATTAATTATCGCTTATTTATTAGCTCATTTATAGTGTATATAACTGTAATATAGTTGTATACATGCGATACCACGCATCAATAAAGGGTGTGATTTAATATGACGATATAAGTATCAATTATTTTATGTGTATAGGACCTATACTGCGTTTCAATGTATAATGATTAATATTCATACAGAGCATTGATATATATTTGACATTTTTCTAAAAAAATAATTTAAAAAAAGTATTTTAAAAATATTTGTTGGTATATAATATTGTATGTATTCAATTAAAAATGTACGAGTACTCAACTCAAAAAAAACACCACAGAAAAAAAAAAAGAACCATGAATTATTATAATTCCACGTATAGAACTTCCACACGTGGAAAACTAAAGCTGTTTTACATTCACATGATAATCAAATTCTAATTTTGGTTTTGAAGAAATACGAAAACCGTAATTTTTGATGTTACAATGACGGAGTTTTACTTGGTTTTTGTTTCATTATTTTTATATTTTATTTCGAGTAGCAATGAAATCTGAGTTTATATGAAACGATTAATTTTAATAAAGATAAATTTAAATTAATCGATGTATTGTAATTCGTTAATTCTTGACTGTGAAAACGGAGCGTTCAAAAACTCAATACTTGATAGTTCAATGGAAATTTGATCGTGTGACGGTTCCATGACCGACGGCATGACTAATTAATGTTACTAGAGCACGTATTGTTTTTGCGTACTAAATAGTTCATATAACTAACTATTCTATCCTAGTTTTAATATTTTTCTGGTTTAATGATGTTTAAATTGTAGCAGATTATGGCTTTATGTAGTTAACGGTGAGATAATTGATTAAAAATCATCATCAAAAAGCTCAAAAACGAATGTGAATAATACAATAATAAACAATAAAATGTTATGCGTATACGGGACAGTAAATAAAATTTAATAGTATATTATGTGTAATAATTCACCATGTTAAAATCTCATTAAAACAAATTTATGTATTTAAAAAAAAATACATTACACTATTTTAAATACATTTTATCATGTTTATAACAAGCAAATGTACAATTGTAATAGTGGAAACGTACGATTACATGTGAAATTTAACAATATTTATTCATTAATTTTATAGTTTTTAAAAACTAATACATTAACTAATAATTACTTACAATACTCACAGAGATAAAAGTAAGAATTGAATTATACTTTTAATATTTTTTGTCAAATATATATAATTATTAATAATTCATAATGAATCGAGTATGTACATTTCATGAAACCAATAAAATAATGTAATATATTATTACGTTCATGGATTGCATGTTTCCATTCCTGAGATATTATTTATTTATTATACTTGATTCCTCTCTTTTTTTTTTTTTTTTTTTTTGCGTTTTTTTTTTTTTAGGTTCTAAGTGCGAAGAAAAGAATATTTTGGTCTAATAATAATAGTTCTCTATCTGTGTTTTTTTTTTGGAGAAGGAGGGTTTCAA